AGGGCCAGGGCTCAGGCTGAGGGTGAAGCTGGGCACATAACCCAGCCGAGCTGCTCCCCAAAGCCACGCTGGGAGCCACAACCCTTCCCTCCCATGAGCAGACGGGACTCAGCAGGGCAGGATGTCCCTCAAGATGTGTCCTACAGGGTGGCATCTCAGCGAGTCCTCCTGAGCGGCGCAGCGCTGGGGGCCCAGCTCAGCTGGGCACACACCTGATGATGTCTGTGTACTCCCGGTCCTTCCCTTTGCTCTCCTTCCACTTGCGGTACATCACGGAGGCATCCACGTTGGCTGGAGAAAACGTGTTGGGTTCATTCAGCAGCGAGATCACACTCAGGAGGATGGTCCTGCAGTCAAGAGACACGGGCAGGTAAGAGCCAAGGGGGTCAGCGACGGCCCGTGCCCCAGCAACGGCAGCAGCTGCAGCGTCACAGACCCCGGCGCTGCCACCAGCGAGGGAGGATCCCGGTGACACCGAGCAGGACGGGCAGGAGACAGCAGCGCAGGGGCCGTGGGGCTCACCCACGTTCCACACAAGCTCTCGCTCTTCCTCAGCAGAGCCCACGCCCCGAGGGCACCTCAACAGCCTCCAGGTACCTCCCGCTGGGTTTGGGAGTGGAGGACGATCCCCACCTCCCTGCTCTCCCGTCCCTGCCCTCGGAGGAGCCTCCTGCCCGCAGCTCCCTCCGGCTCAGCCCTTACCGCACGTTCTGCGTGGGGTTCCACCGCTCCGACGGCAGCTCCCCGCTCTGCGGGTCATCCACGGGCGGGTGCAGGATGGAGATGCAGACATCGCCCGTCTGAAAGCACAGGGGAAACGGGATCCTCAGGAGCTGCTGCCCCAGGGACCTCCAGAGGCAGCTCAGTCCTCAGTTCCAGTCTTTGCCCTCCACTTTGGCTTAAGCCAGGTGAGGCACCCCCAGCCTGGTCCCTCTGTCCCCAGCACGGTCCCCGCTGTGCTGCCCACAGCCCCGGGCCTTGGATAAATACACTGTCATGGCCACCACGGGACAGATGGGGCTACCAAACCAGGCACCACAGCCCCTTGGTGCCCACCTGACACCCCGCACACTCCCAGGCAGTGACCCACCCCCTGGGGACACGCACGTCACTCGCTCCGTCCGCACAATGTCCCCGCAGCGTGGGAGCATTCGGCTGGGACCAGCTCCTGGGCTGAGAAAGCTCGTTAGCTGCGTTCCCAGTGCCAGGCACTAATCACCAAGAGTTTCCAAGGCTGTGACAAAGGCTGGCGTTTTCACCCAGAGCAGTGGCAGCAAAGGGACACGTGTCCCCAGCCACCCCACGCTGTCCCCGGCGACCTACCTCGTAGATGTTGGGGTGCCACATTTTGGTTAGGAACCGAAAGGCTGGCGGGGAATAGGGGTAGTCGATGGGAAAGCGGAGACGAGCCTGCACGGAAACAATAGGGAGAAGTGAGCGTCAGCTGGTGAGAAGGGAGGGAAGGAAACCACGATTTCCCGACACCACTGGGGAAAAAAGGAACCTCTGCCAAGCCCAGCAGTGCTCTGGCACAGACAGACCCCCCACGGCAGGACACCGGCAGCGTGGCTGCCACTGCGCAGGGGACAGCGAGTGCCTGTGGCAGCCCCTTCAGCACCATCCTGCCCCACAACCCGGGACCCCCTGCCCGGGTACTGGGTGATGACACCGAGGACAGGCTGCTCCAGGATGGCAAACAGTGGCCGGGGGAGGGCCTGGCGGTGGCAGACAGGGCTGGGGGCCGCACGCCCCGATAAACCGAGCGGCTCTTGGAGCCAGAGTGGGAGTCCTGGATTGTCCCCGGTCCAGCTGCAGGGACAAGTGGTGGCCTCCCTGCTGGAGAAAAGGCTGTTTACCCTTCAGAGCTCGCAGGGAAGGGAGCATCAGGTGCTCTGTTTAACACACCAAATCCCTAAAAATAGCCCGTCAACACTGAAAAAAAGAGACCAAGTCAAAGCTGGCCGCAGCGCGCAGCTCAGGTGCTAAAAATAAAAGCACATGAGGATCACGCCGCAGGCTCCAGCGCCAGCAGAGACACTGGCCTGCAGCTGGCTTTCCTGTGGGCAAGGGCCATGAAAAACAAGGGATTAAGGCAGGGCAGAGACAGGCTGCACAACCTGCGGCGACTGTTCCAGCCTCCGGGTGTTTCCAGGCCCTGGAAGCAAAACTTCCAGATCGAGATTCAGCCCCCGCTCCCAAAAAAGCCAGTGGCCAGAAATAAACAAACAAAACAGTGAGGATTTAACACACACAACAACTCCCTGAACAGTTTTGCTCCCTCCGTTCATGTACACAAGAATTTAGACGTAGGATCTGTGAAGCAACAGCACCAAGGACCCCGACTCTGACCCAGCACCACTCTTCACCCGCAGATTCGGGAGGGCAACTGCAAACAGGGCTTCTGATGTTTCTGGAATTACAGCCCCAACAATAGGCAGTGCTGCCAAACCCAGCCGTCAGCGAGCGGCCGTTACAAGATCAGTGCAGAGAGACATCCCTCCTCCTCACTGCCCGACCCCATCCTGGGCTCCACAGCCTCTGCTCTCTGAACTCTCCCACCCTGCCAGGATCTGTGCCCGGCACACGGCGAGGCCAAGGAGCCCCCGACCACGACACGTCCGTCCCTACACGCGTTACTGACTCGCCTTCCAGTCTGGCCCTTTGTCCGACCGCTCTGCGGCACACGATGAGGGGTGAGAGAAGGAAAAGGGAGGTGGCAGCCAGGGCTGGATGTGTTTTGTGCGTGTGTGGAGCTCCGGGCAGCCCAGGGCGCACGCACACAGCAACACGCAGCCCAGCGCTGGGCTCTGGCCAAACAGCTGAACTCTGCAGAATAATCCCCTTTGTCATACCAGAGGGGGTCAGAACAAAACCAGCCAAAGGCGCTTCGATCCTGAAGGGGGCTCGGGAAGCCACACAGACACAGGGTGATGTTACCACGAGCTGGAAGAGGACTCGGCCCCTTCACTCTCCTCATCTGCCACCATCAACAGCGCTGACTTCGGGAGCTCTCAGGCACAAAACAGGGGCATGAGCCGCTGAAAAGGTGAGAGTTCGAAGAGCCTCGTGCCGAGGACCAAAAGGGGCTACAGAGAGAGACTCTGTTTCCATGAAGAGATAAATCCTGACTCTGAAGCATCAGACTTGCCCGCCTCCGCTCCTCGGGAAAAACAAACCTCCCAGGTTCTCGGCACGGCTGACCCTCGGGGTGACTCACCCCGGGCACATCCCCACCCTGCCAGCAACAGGATGGAGACAGAGAGCTCATCGCAGAGGAGGGAGGAAAAGAAAGAGGAAGAAAACAGCTACACAGGTTGCACAACACCTGGGAAGAGCCCACACACATCCTCCCGACGAGGACTACGCAGCCCAGCCACACAAAACCCCAAACAAACCCTCGACACCCACTGCTGCTCGCTCGGCCTGAGCCAGGAGAGTCCTTTGTCCTTCCCTCCGGTTTGTTGTCGATGCCTCTGACCCCCTCAGGAGAGGGAACACCGACGACCCCCAGCTCCCGCACTCACAGAGCGGGGGCTGGAGGCAGAGCCTCTGGAGGGACCAAATCCCCCTCCCAGCGCAGGGAACCCTCGCCCAGTTCGGCAGCGGCCACCGGCAGGAGGGGTCCCCTCCCCACCCCGGCTGCCCCCGCCAGCACCTCAGGGCCCCCCCAGCTCCCGAACCCCAAACCCCACAGTGCCCAGACACAGACCCGGGTCCCCCAGCCCTCAGGGCCCCTCAGGCCCTAGAGCCCCCCATCACGGCCCCTCAGTACCCGCCTCAACCGGACACCCAAGATCCCCTCCAGGGTCTCCCCCTCTTCCAAAACCCCTTCCCAAAGCATCCTCCCCCCAGCACCACCCAGTCAGCCTTC